TCCTTAAGGCTATCTATAGGGTTTTAGGGCTTTGGAAGGGTTCAGGGTTTAGGATCTAGAACCTTCTACTTTCTAAGAAAGTCGAACCCCTAATTTGGGACCCCACAGTTGGAAACGCAAGAGCCTCAATCCTTAAGAGTAATCTAGACGGAATCCCAGCACTCTTTGTCCTTACTCCGGTTTTCTAGCAGATCCAGGACAAAAAACGGACTAGGTTGTTCTAAGTTCTATTTCAGGACTCCTTTTTGCAGTATCCAGGTTTCCCAAGTTTGTGGCGTTTCATAGAGGGACTTTGCAGGAACCCCTAAACCCTAAACCCCTCAACCCCCATTCAGGGATCTACTTTCTAGATCCTATCGGGGGCTTGGGGAAAGAATTGCGGAGAGCCACCCCAAAAAAAGGCTCGCAGGGTTTAGGGATGTTTGGCGGTTTAGGGCATTGGGGGTTGGGGTGTAGGGATGTTTAGGGTTTTAGGGCATAGGGGCTTGGGGTTTAGGGATGTTTAGGGGTTTAGGGTGTAGGGCTTTGGGGTTTCGGGATGTTTAGGGTTTGTTTGCTAGGTGGGATATAGGTTTCGGGGTTTAGGGTTTCGGGTATGGGTTCTTGGGTTTAGGGGTCAGGGTTTGAGTTTTTTTAGGGTATAGGGTTCAGGGGTTTAGGGTATGGGGTTTAGGGGTTTAGGGTTTAGGTTTCAGGGTTAACTTGAAGGACTCTTTTACAGTTTAGAGGTTCAGATGGGTTCAGGGTTTGGGGGTTTAGGGTTAGGGTTTAGGGTGTTAGGAACATGTACGTCAAACTCGTGATTCTATAAGGTCCATCGGGGCTCCATAATTGCATGGTTGAGGCGCGTGCAGGCATATTCCCGGATTTAAGGCCTTTTGGATTTCCTGTGAACCCTAAACCCTAAACCGGTCGGGAGCTTACATTTGGGGTTGACGTAGTTCAGCGATGTGCAGAGTCGTAATGAGACAGGTGGTTCAGGGATTTTTGACCTTTAAGGTTCAGGGTTTTGAGGAGGTGTAGGGCTGTGGGTTTCCGGTCCAGGCTGTAGACAATTGTGGAAAGCCCTGACATCAGCAGAGCATTCACTCTGAAAGAACATACCACGCAAAAGCCGAGTCCTCAGTTCGAAACCCTATCCTCCCAAATCCATAAAACCCTTCACCCCCAAAAAAACAAACTCTGAACCCTCCACCCTGAACCCTAACAAAACCCCAAAATCTAAACCTAAGCTCTCCCCTCTTACCCGAAGAGCCCCTGAACCTGAAACTCTGCACCGACTTAAGTTTGTAGCATGCCGGTAGAGCCCGTGTCAACAGAGTCTCGTAACATAGCCGTATCTGAACCTGAAGCTTTGTTGAACCCCGAAAGTCCCACCAAAACCTAAAAATCCCTAAACCCCCAAACCCAACCCCAATAAACTTAAGCTAACACCTGAAACCCCACGAATCCCTGAACCCTAAACCCGAAGCCCTTATAACCTATAGACGCCAAACCCTGAACTCTGACCCCTAAAACCTGAACCCTAAACCC